ATAAAAGCTTTAATAAAAGCTTGAATAAAGGTTTAAGAAAAGCTTTAATCAAATCATTTCTAATCATATGTTACCTATTGATAGTAAAACTTTAATAACATTTTATTCAATCAAGATTTTTCAGAAGATCTCTTATGGAAAAGCATGCGTCATCCGTTTTAGAGCACAAAGGAAATGTCCAATTCTTACTCTCAAATCCTTTTCGTCCGCTTGACATCTTTGCGTACACTGTAGATTTAACTGGACAACATGCTATTGATTGAAATTTTCAATCGTTTATTTTAAGCTTTTATTATTTTGTTCACTTTCACATTGAAATGTCTTTCTCAATTTGATCAAATCAATTTTCTTTTAAAAAAAATTATTAAAACATTACTAACAATTTATTGATATTGATAAAAGAATGAATAAATATTGAAGAAAGATTTGATTTTGAATTGTGATGAAGATTTTGTTGTGGTTTCAACAATTGGAGTTCCGGTTTGGTTTGACTGAAATTTTTGAAGACTGACGGGACTGTTTTAAATCGACTTACTGCCGCTTTTTCTGTACTTAGAATTCAACAATAAGTTTACCTTTGCCCACCTGTACATTAACGGTAACTTTGGACACAGTGCTTGTTGTCATTGTCACTGCAGTGGTTGCTGTTGTTGTTGTTGTTGTTGTTGTTGTTGTTATGTTGTTGTTGTTGTTGTTGTTGTTATTGTTGTTGTTGTTGTAATCACTGCATAAGCCGCTTGATAAGACTGAACGGCTAGCGGATAGGGAACAAATTCAGGCAGTTTTGGCTTAAACTTTTTATATGATTTCCGTGCGGTGGCGAGATCTTTATTGCAGAATTCCTCAGCACACATCACATAAAGATAATCGAAAGGATATTCGCCGACCTGGAAACGAAATTTGGATTTGGGACAGGGAAATGGACAGGAAAAAGCCTGAGAACAAGATTTGTAACAACTTTTCCAGATCCAGAAGCCAATCAGCTCCAGAAGTCAATCAGGTTCAAAAGCCAATCAGGTCCAGAAACCAACCAGGTCCAGAAGCCAATGAGCTTCACAAGCCAATCAGCTCCAGAAACCAATCAGGTTCAAAAGCCAATCAGGTTCAGAAGCCAAGCAGGTCCAGAAGCCAATCAGGTTCAAAAGCCAATCAGCTCCAGAAGCCAATCAGGTTCAGAAGCCACTCAGTTTTAGAAGCCAAGCCAGAAGCCGATCAGAATCAGATTAGACGCCTTGGCTTAGCTTTTAATTCAAAATCTATCGGAAACATGGTATATCTCAACCAATTTCACTCTGATCTTTTTGATTTTGATATCGATAGACGCAGAATGAATTCTCTATCAAAGACAAAAAGATCGGAGTCGAATTGGTCAAGATCTTCGCATTGGATCTATTAACGTTTACACCAATTCCGAAGTCTACTTGGAATCTCTTTGTTAAACATTACCTCCAATCTTCCGCTAGCTCTTGCATCATTTTGCCAGAGACAACCCCGTGATGTCAAGCTATCGTCTTTCGTGAGTTTTAGCTAAACTTTAAAAGAGTCAAGTTTTAAAAGAATCGATATCTACTCGATCTTGCACATAGACGCAAAGATGACCACTGCAGAAGCTGCCTTCTGAATTCGTTTCGAATGAAATTTGAAAAGAAAGGAAGATTTTCGATGTTTATTAGGTAATTTTAAAGTTTTAATCTATTTTAAAAGCATTTCTTTCCCTCATTCTTACCAAAACCATGACATTTTACAGTCGATTGAGGCATTTCCTTTAAATCAGCCACATTGCAGAGAGTCTAAACTTTCTTTGGGGATTTTATTGGGTCGGTGAATTGAAAAGTTGAAGGTGCTTAAAATGAGGTGAAAGTTTGGCAAAAAAATTGACCAAAAAATAATCGCCATCGTTAAGCGTAAAGATCCGCCGATTCACATGAATCGTTTATAGGTTTGTAGAGGATTTGAGCACTTAAAGTTTAGTGATTCTTCGAATCAACTTGATCTAAAGTGATCCGATCAGCTTTTCAGGATTGGGAGGAAAGGCTTAAGATCTATTTGGATCCAACTATTGGGTCGGTGAATTGAAAACTGCGAGACTTTGAACTAAAATTTATTCAACATAAAACCATCAATTCATTCGAAATAATTCCCATTATTATTGACGACTTCTGCCGATTTTACAGGCAATTTGCGGATTCCTCTTTCGTGGTAGGATTTTGGTTTGTGTGTGAGACAAGTATGAGACTCAAAAATCGAGGACTGGAGATGTCCCAGTTTGAGCACTTTCTTCAAAAGAAACTCATTTTGTTGTCAATAGAAAAGTTGTAGAGAATCAAAAATTAGGCTTATAGCGAAATTTCCAAAAAGATACACTTAGTAGTTTCGCTTAAAATGCAAGTTTTGTGAAAATTCGTAAGTTTGGCATTTCTTGAAAACCAGCTTTTGAATCGTTCTGAAAATTTGGATATAAGCTTCATTTTTGATTCTCTACAACTTTTCTATTGACACCAAAATGGGTTTCTTTTGAAGAAAGTGCTCAAACTGTCACATATGACAATAGTCGGCAGTTTTCAATTCACCAACCCAATATATTGACTATTTTAACGATCATTTGATGCAGAATGAAATTACGCATGGAATGACACCAAAAACAACTTAAAATATAATATTCATGCAAAATGAAATATTGGTCAAAATACGGCTGAAAAAATGCCCGTACAGTAAGGCAGACAGAAAGACAGACAGAAAGACAGACAGATACCGTAACCCCCCCTCCCCTCCCCGTCCTTTTCCGCTATTTCATTTGTGAAAATTCGTAAGTTTGGCATATCTTGAAAACCAGCTTTTGAATCGTTCTGAAAATTTGCCTATAAGCCTAATTTTTGATTCTCTACAACTTTTCTATTGACACCAAAATGGGTTTCTTTTGAAGAAAGTGCTCAAACTGTCACAAAATAACAATAGCCCGCAGTTTTCAATTCACCAATCCAATATTTTCACCGTTTAATACTTAAAGTTATATTTATAGAGCTAGATTGATTTAGAAACTAGATCGATTTAATATCTTAATCGAAAACCAAACATTTTATTATCAAATCTGTCTTCATACCCAATCGCATGACATTCGAACGATAAACGAGTAGATTGTTGACTGATACCCGTAAACGCCACCATTATAACCACTAAAAACATTGAATTCAATGCACTAATGCATTTGTTTACACACAAAGTCCAATAAGAGCACTTACGGTAAACGACTAATCCAATCTAGATCTCCAATCGATAGAATTCCTTCTGTTGGCGCTCTTCGACTTGCATCTCGATACCCGTCAAACATCAACCATTCCGAAAGATTTGCGCCAACTGTTTCCGTCAAAAGTACCTGAATTGATTACAGATTATACCAAAGCTTTTTAAGATTAAGATTTAAGATTTTAAGACTTATTCCTTTAAAGCGATAAGAGCTTTTAAAGCTTTTGATGATTTAAAGATCTACTTCTTCTATCCCACCTGCCCATCAGTATCGATCACGCACATTTCGTCCTCGAATGTCACCCCAATTGCCGGGAATTTTGGCGTTTCTCCCGGATTCTTGTCCCAATTCAAATTTACCGAGCTCTAAACCGTTTATACAATTAAGTAAGATGGTTTAAGACTTAAACCTAGTCCTGACCTGGTTTTAGTCAGTTTCTGAGCCTGGCCTGCCTCGAGTCTAACCTGTCTCGAGCCTGGCCTGCCTCGAGCCTGACCTGCCTCGAGCCTGACCTGCCTCGAGCCTGACCTGCCTCGAGCCTGACCTGCCTCGGATCTGGCTTGGCCTGGCCTAGCTTTAGTTCAGTCTCTGACCTACTAAAAGTCTCTAATCGCCAGAATTTGTCAGGAACTACGCCTAGACCAGAATCTAGGCTCTAACTGGCCTAGCTTACAGGCTCTAAGCTCGATTATATATCTAGAAGCGGGTACTGGTACTGGTACTGGTACTGGTACTGGTACTGGTACTGGTACTGGTACTGGTACTGGTACTGGTACTGGTACTGGTACTGGTACTGGTACTGGTACTGGTACTGGTACTGGTACTGGTACTGGTACTGGTACTGGTACTGGTACTGGTACTGGTACTGGTACTGGTACTGGTACTGGTACTGGTACTGGTACTGGTACTGGTACTGGCTACCGGTACTGGTACTGGTACTGGTACTGGTACTGGTACTGGTACTGGTACTGGTACTGGTACTGGTACTGGTACTGGTACTGGGTACTGGTACTGGTACTGGTACTGGTACTGGTACTGGTACTGGTACTGGTACTGGTACTGGTACTGGTACTGGTACTGGTACTGGTACTGGTACTGGTACTGGTACTGGTACTGGTACTGGTACTGGTACCAGTACTGGTACTGGTACTGGTACTGGTACTGGTACTGGGCGGTACTGGTACTGGTACTGGTACTGGTACTGGTACTGGTACTGGTACTGGTACTGGTACTGGTACTGGTACTGGTACTGGTACTGGTACTGGTACTGGTACTGGTACTGGTACTGGTACTGGTACTGGTACTGGTACTGGTACTGGTACTGGTACTGGTACTGGTACTGGTACTGGTACTGGTACTGGTACTGGTACTGGTACTGGTACTGGTTTTCTATGCATCAGCACTTAATCTATAAAGATCAGGGCCTTACTAAAGCCCAGGTACATCATTCTTTAGTTGAATAGAGTCAATGTTTTACTCACATTCCAACATCTGATCGGCGTCCGGTTGATGATCGGCACATTCCTCGTACCCCAGCTCAACGTCAATTGCGGCTCGTAGCCAAATGTTGGCACCTCGTCGTTACAGTTATCAGTGCTGCAAGAATTTCTGCTTTCAGCCTGTTCTAGGCATAACATTTCTTGTACTAGAACTTGTAAACAAGAAAAACTTTCTCAGAAACCTTACTGAACTTTCAAAACTTGCAGAACTTTCAGTTTTTTCTACTAGATCTGTTTTTAGATTTAACACTCACTCGCAAAGACACGTGAAACCGGGCAGCGGAGTGCCAGTGGGACTTTTAACTACGTGCGTATCGAAGTAGCACGCCGGTTTCCAATAGATCATCCCCTGTACACAGTCTCGTCGCGTAGTGTTGAATGGGAAAAGTTGCTGAGAAATCAAGCACAAAGTACCAGTGCATTGGGATGGAGAGCTGGAATTGGGAAAAAGTTTTCGGAGAGGGATTGAATGCTTTGCAAGCAATTGTTCTAACCACTGAGCTATGTGGTACCTTAAGTTGTCAAGAGAAAAAGGGAAAGACAAGGGAGAAGAAAGGAAGAAGGAAGAAAGGAAGAAGGAAGAAAGGAAGAAGGAAAGAAACGCTAAGCTAAAGCCATGCCCCTCTTTATGTACTTTATGCTGAAATATTCTGTAAACGCATCCTTTCTAGCGAACAGAATTCTTCACTTTTCTTCAGGGCATTACTAAAAGAAGAAAGAATTCTAGTAGTATGTCAGAAAGGGTGCGTTTTCAAAGCACCAAAAAACTTACACAGCTTTTCCAACTGAATCGACTTGTAGAATGCATTTCACTGCTTTAATATGAAATTTTTTCCAACTTATCAATAAAATTATTAAAATATTTAAATAAAATTTCATTAGAATTACAATAAAATATTAGAAATTCTTTCAAAAGCATTCTCTTTTCAATGCCAAATTACAGGTTTCCCCAGCAATTACGTAAAATTGAAACAAATTTTTGAAGATTGACTTTTGAATTGATTGAAAACTTGAAAAAGTAAGGCTAGAATGCTAGAATTGTTTTAGATTTAGATTTATGATAATAAAAGTAAAGCTAAAGTAAAGCTAAAGCTGAAAAGAAAGCTGAAATGAAAGCTGAAGCGAAAGCTGAAGCGAAAGCTTCTTCTTGTCAACGTTTCGGAATCCGCTTGTAGTCTAGATTCGTTTTTTTTAAAGTTAAAACTCGCTACACACTCCCTACACAATACTGCAATTAGTAAACTACTGTATTCTATTGTTGATAAGCCTCTGAAGTACTATAATTGATCAATTCAATCCCCTAGAAGTCATGCGTTCATCAACTTCAAAGTTCAAAGCTTAAAGAAAATAAAGCTGTAATTTGACGCAGGATTTTGACGTTTGATAGTAATTGATGCTTTTAATTCTTTTTATGCTTTTAATGCTTTTAATGACTAGTTTCTATTCTTAAATATCCATTCAACAATTTGTGAATATTATCGGGATTCAAATGCCAATTACTGGGTTTTTTCTGAATCGAAACCGGTTTTTTCTGAATCGAAATTCTACAAAGATGAAGTAATGTTTAGAGACAATGAAAGGAAGAAAGGATGAAAAGTAATGAACAAAAGATTGAAAGAATCAATTTGAAAAGTAAAAGTGTCTCAGAATCATCAAAAAGGTAATGAATAAAGGATTGGTAATGTTAAAGAATCAATTTGAAAACGAAAAGTGTCTCAGGATGATCAAAAGGCTAAAAAGCAAAAGGCCAGAATGGCCAAAAAGCCAAAACCCTTTCACTTTCCAAATTATCAGTAATTCATTCAACACTTTCACTGATCTTTTTCTTCTGTTGAGACAAAATTTGCATATTATTTAAGCCTTAGAGTATGGCACAGTACCAATTTAATCCATAGGATATTGTAGAAAACCTAAAGTAAAACATAAGACAGTAGAACATTCCAGTACAGTACAGTACAGTAGAACATCCCAGTAAAGTACAGTACAGTAGAACATTCCAGTACAGTACAGTACAGTACAGTACAGTACAGTACAGTACAGTACAGTACAGTACAGTACAGTACAGTACAGTACAGTACAGTACAGTACAGTACAGTACAGTACAGTACAGTACAGTACAGTACAGTACAGTACAGTACAGTACAGTAGAACATTTCAGTACAGCAGAGCATTCCAGTAAAGTACAGTACAGTACAGTACGGTAGAACAGTACAGTGCAGTTGAAGATTCCAGTACAGTACAGTACAGTAGAACATTCCAGTGCAGTACAGTACAGTACGGTAGAACACTCCAGTACAGTACAGTACAGTACGGTAGAACATTCCAGTACAGTACAGTGCAGTTGAAAATTCCAGTACAGTACAGTACAGAAGAACATTCCAGTACAAATTGGTACAGTACAGTACGGTACAGTAGAACATTCCAGTACAGTACAGTACAATACAGTGCAGTAGAGCATTTCAGTACAGTACAGTAGAACATTCCAGTAGTAATCTTAAAAAGCAAGCCCAACTTTTCTTGGTTTACTTTACCAAGCACTTACTTTACTTTACTTTACCAAAATATTATTTTGTTCAAATTCGCAAAAGTTAGACACATCATTTCTGGCCTTGAAAGAAAGTGATAAACTCCTTTTTTTTCAGTCAGTTTTCTGTTTTTTTGATTGAAAAGCCTTGAATCAAATATTATCTTATGCCAGAAAATTGGAGAAAGAGAAAATCTTCTAATCCTAAACGATTGCTTTTTAAACAAACAACATTTTTTGATTCACTACGCAAATAACATTATCTATTCACTTTCAAAAGTTTTTCATTCAGAATTGGCTTTAAGTTGCTGAGGAGTTAGCTCAGAAGTTGGCTTTCCGTTCTTATTTGTTGAGCCAGTTTATGGTAGCGAAGTTACGGGTAGACGGCAATCCGACATATCCGTTTTCTAAGCATTAGTAATGTTAAAGAATCAATTTGAAAACGAAAAGTACCTCAGGATGATCAAAAGGCCAAAAAGGAAAAAGCCAAAATGGCCAAAAAGCCAAAAAGCAACCCTTTCACTTTCCAATTATCAGTAATTCATTCAACACTTTCACTGATCTTTTTCCTCTCTTGAGACAAAATTTGCATATTATTTAAGCCTTAGAGTATGGCACAGTACCAATTTAATCCATAGGATATTGAAGAAAACCTATAGCAAAAGATAAGACAGTAGAACATTCCAGTACAGTACAGTACAGTAGAACATTCCAGTACAGTACCGTACAGTAGAACATTCCAGGACAGTACCGTACAGTGCAGAAGAAGATTCCAGTACAGTACATTACAGTACAGTACAGTAGAACATTCCAGTACAGTACAGTACAGTACAGTAGAATATTTCAGTAGTAATCTTAAAAAGCAAGCCTCTAGTTTTCTTAATTTACTTTACCAAAGCACCTACTTTACTTTACTTTACTTTACTTGACTTTACCAAAATATTATTTTGATAAAATTTTCCCCAGCATTCTCAAAAGTTGTGATATCACTATTTTTGACTTTGAAAGAAGTGATAAGATCCTTTTTTTTCTGTCAGTTTTTTTTTATGGTTGAACCAAATATACTCTTATGCCAGAAAATTGGCCGATTGCTTTTTAAATAAACAGCTTTTTTTGATTCAATACGCAAATAACATTTATCTATTCACTTTCAAAATTTTTTGATTCAGGATTCAGAGTTGGCTTTAAATTGACCGTTAGTAAATAGACTTGTTGCAGCTTTTCTTATACTTAGCTAATCCGTTTTCGAAGATTATTGTAAGCTTGCTTTAATTTCTAATCCATCTATCTATCTTTCTAAACTATCTTCTAAACTATCTTCTAAACTATCTTCTAAACTATCTTCTAAACTATCTTCTAATCTATCTTCTAAACTATCTTCTAATCTATCTTCTAATCTATCTTCTAAACTATCCTCTAAACTATCTTCTAATCTATCTTCTAAACTATCCTCTAAACTATCTTCTAAACTATCTTCTAATCTATCTTCTAATCTATCTTCTAAACTATCCTCTAAACTATCTTCTAATCTATCTTCTAAACTATCCTCTAAACTATCTTCTAAACTATCTTCTAATCTATCTTCTAATCTATCTTCTAATCTATCTTCTAAACTATCCTCTAAACTATCTTCTAAACTATCTTCTAAACTATCTTCTAATCTATCTTCTAAACTATCTTCTAATCTATCTTCTAATCTATCTTCTAAACTATCCTCTAAACTATCTTCTAAACTATCTTCTAAACTATCTTCTAATCTATCTTCTAAACTATCTTCTAATCTATCTTCTAATCTATCTTCTAAACTATCCTCTAAACTATCTTCTAATCTATCTTCTAATCTATCTTCTAAACTATCCTCTAAACTATCTTCTAATCTATCTTCTAATCTATCTTCTAAACTATCCTCTAAACTATCTTCTAATCTATCTTCTAAACTATCTTCTAATCTATCTTCTAATCTATCTTCTAAACTATCCTCTAAACTATCTTCTAAACTATCTTCTAATCTATCTTCTAAACTATCTTCTAAACTATCTTCTAATCTATCTACTTTTAACAGCAATTTTAGTATTAACTTTTTAACAGTACAGTAGCTTCAATGAAATCAATGTTTTAAAAAGCATACTTATACAAACATCTATTTCATATATTCATCTATTAAAGAATTTAAAGTCTTCACTCTTTTTAAGACATTCAAATCTTAGACTTTCATCATCTTTTACAGAAAACAAAGAAATGAGTGACAACATTGGTCGACAGGTATAACAAAACTCAAAATAAATTAAATAATTGAGAAAATTGAATGAATGAATGAAAGCAAGGAAAGAAATTCTTAAGGAAAACCTCGAAATGCAGAGACTTTTCGATATTGGAGATGATGGGAAAACTGTTTTCGATCAACATCTCCTTAATTCGCTTTGCATTCAAATTGGAGAAAGACCGGTAATTTGCTGAATTCAAATTTACTGATTTTCAAATTCAATTCTTTGAGTCGTTTTTCCATTCAAATGCTTTGATTGATTTGATTTGTTCAAATGATCAAATGATTTGTTTTACGTTCAGGTATCCATCATTTCGACAGCTGGCAAATCTCGGCAGGGAAAAACCTTCTGGCTGAACGTTTTATTGAATGGACTGCAGAGGGGAAAAGCGAGATTCGATGATCATGAAACGATTGGGTGCATAGAGATTTTGATTTTGATTGATCATTTTCTATTAAAGCTAGATTTTGATTCATTTATTGTACAGTACGTGGAAACTTTTCCCTTACCGTAACCTTACAGGGGTAGGTAGACGTAGACGTAGACGTAGTAGACGCCTTCTGTGACTACCGTAACTCATAGTAACCTACAGTAGCCGTAGTTGATTACATATGACTTGGAGATAGAGTTATACCGAGTTACAGTAGCTGAAGCTGGCTTTAAGCAGGCTACGGTAACTGAAATAAGCTTTAAACAGGTTACGGTGACTGAAAAAAGCCTTAAGAAGGTTACGGTAGCTGGAATTGGCTTTAAGCAGGCTGCGGTAACTGAAATAAGCTTTAAGCAGGTTACGGTAGCGGAAACAAGCTTTTAGCAGGTTACGGTAGTTGAAACAAGCCTTAAACCGGTTACGGTAGCTCGAGCTGGCTTTAAAAGTTAGCTGTAACGTTTACCGCACTTTTAGCGGACCCGGCTGTATCCAATTCAAAGCCGGCCTCACCCGACACACTCGTGGCATAATGGTTTGGCCAAAAGTCTTCCATCGAAAAGGCAAATTTGGGAAAGAGGTAAGCTATCGTAATCTGGCTGAAAACCTACAGTAATCCCATGAAATATAGCCATAAAAATTTCCCAGATAGCCGTCATTTTAATGGACACCCAAGGCACTTTTGACCTCCACAGCGAAATCGGAAATGCGGCTGTGATCTTTGCCATCTCGTTATTGATGTCCTCAGTGCAGGTTTGGTTACTGTAACGAGAATGTTGATAATTTTATGATATTCAGTTAAGATTCAGTTATGATATTCAATTATTAAAGAGAACTTATTCAGTGAAGGTTTTTAAACTTCTAAGGCGAAAAAGTCAAGAGCTTTTTCCGACACCGACTCTGATCCGACTCCATTAAAGCCTGTCCCAGCTACCGTAATCTTTATATCATAGTTTAAGCTATAGAAATTGTCAAGTTCTCTATCTATAGTTAGATAAGGACTACAGTAATCTTTATAATCAATTTGAGTTACTGTAAAAGCTATTTGTTGAGCCAGTTTATGGTAGCGAAGTTACGGGTAGACAGAAATCCTATATAAAAAGGTTTCTATAGACTTTTATATACTCCTATATATCTGATCTATATCTGAATCTGAATCTGAAGCTAGTCCACCTGCTGCCAAGACTAATTTGACTTGACTTACAGGCCCGGATCAGAAACGGATTCTAGCAGGGATTTTCTGTTTATTCAAATCCCACCAAGGTTACCATGGTTTTTAGAAGATCTTGGTCAAGATCTTGGACAAGCTCCTGCTCAAGATCTTGATCAAGCTCTTGGTCAAGCTCTTGGTCAAGCTCCTGCTCAAGCTCTTGATCAAGATCTTGAGCAGGAGCTTGACCAAGCTCTTGCTCAAGATCTTGGTCAAGCTCCTGCTCAAGATCTTGGTCGAGGTTATCTTGTTCATGCCAGGCAAGAACAGAAGCCAGTTCTTATCCTGTTTTATTGCAATCTCTTTTATATTCTATAAAACTTAAAATACTCAACTATTCAACTATTCTATTCAAATTCTAATTGTAAAAGCATTTGCTTTAAAGAAAACTTTGTTTCTTCGTCAAGATTTTCAGCTAATCGCCTTTCAGCTAATCAACTGGATATTCTCAATAGTTTGGATTTAAAATCGTATTTATTTAATCGGATTTATTGTATTTATTGTATTTATTGTATAAAATCGTATTAAAAGATCGATCGATCTTGAAATTGATTTCTCAACACTTCTCAGCACTTTTCGGCAACATTTCACAATTCCTAATACTTTCAAAAACGATTTTTCAGCAACTGATAACGAAAACCCTTTTTGCTTTATTTTTCACCAAAAATATCTGATTAGAGTTTTTCTGGTGTCAGAAAAATGCGAAGTTGCCTTTTTTTTGCCTTTTTTGGAGGGATAATTTTTTGAGCAAACAAGTGATAGTTTTTCTTTTTCGAAAATAAACCTTTTTAGTCGTTTTTGAAGGGACAAAAATGTAGAAAGTGTAGAATTTTTTTTCGAAATGGAAATAGTACAAGTTTTCAAATCTAGATTTTCAACACAAAAAGCCAAATCGATGCTCAGGATCTTGACGCGCTCAACACGTTCATCACGTTTTGTCAAAGAGCTGACGGAAGAGTTGGACAGGTGAAAGCTTTTGAATTTCTTGACGACCGTTTTCTCTCTAATAGTAGTGCAAACCGCCGAGCCGAGTTGATAACTATTTTAGTTCAGTTACAGTTCCCAAGCTTTCACAGAAGCTCAACACTCTAATCCCAAGATCTCATCGTCACCTACATTTTCCAACCCCACATCGATGGGTTCTAATAAGCGGCTTTCGAGATTTCAAGGAATTTAGGCAACGCTCACGATGCACTACTATTAGAGAGAATACGGTAACTGATAATTAAGTACTGTAGTTAGTACTGTAGCTTGTTTAAAGCTTATATAATCTACCGTAAATACTGTAATTGGACCCCATGGGGTACTATTTTTTCCCTCCCCCGCTAGGGTGGGGTACTATTAGAGGGTGGGGCACTATTTTACACCACTGTTCAAGTTACCAAATCAGGATGCATTCAAATAATTTTTTCAAAAGCAAACTTTTTCTTTAGTTTTTCTTGGTTTTAACCATTTGAACATTTAACAGCAAAACGAAACAAAAACAACTAACAAGCGAAATCAATAGAAACATCCGAATCAATGAATTCATCATTTTCTTGATCATCAATTCCTCGATGTCCTTGAAATTCCGTCGATGCGAGCGGCCCCAAGAGGTCCTCGATTTCCGTCTCTGTCCGATTTCCGTCTCTGATCTCTAACACCAATTTCTTTGGCTCCAACCGCTTCGATGCACTTGCTCGTCGAAGCATCCAGCCAAACCGCCGTCTCATCGCAAGCAACAATGTGCTTGTAATCGCCTTCTTTGATTGTCTTGTTCAGCCTCAGAATGTGCTCGACGATGGCCTTCTCAAATTTGCTCGGCAGCTTTTGACAAGTTGTTGTTGGTGCCCTCAAAGAAAGTTGGTGACGCCTCAAGAACGACTCCATCCAGCCATGGGTTCTTTTGAAAGAAATTTCAGCTTTTTTGAATCGATTAGCCGCTTCATTCCAGATAATCCGGCGTGTCACTCGTTTCTTCTCGGCTCGACGATCCCGTATCCATTCAGCCAAACCGATATCAATCCCCTCCGAGTTCAAGTGGCTTCTAAGTGGTTCAAGTCTTCTAAGTAGGCCAATCTTTATGATTTTGGTGTTACTTTGTTGCACTTGTTGAGATCTACAATCATAAAGATTGCCCACTTAGAAGAAAGTTATGGCGAGCTGCGCAAAAAATTTGGCGCAAAGTAGCCACCCCAAATTCAAAAACAACAAATTTATGGGATAAAATTAAAAATACAAACTATTTCTGAAAATACATGAAAATTTTCCGCTTTAAAAGAGTTGTTTGTAATTACGCGTTAGGTGGGGTGGGGTACTATTAGAGGGGTGGGGTACTATTAGAGGGGTGGGGTCCAATTACATTATTTACGGTAGAGGTTTAGCAATGAAAGCAGATAGTTTCATAAAAAAATTCAGAACTTTCTGATAATGGTGAGAGATGCGATCCGAGCTGGACCCGACAACGAGTACATTGAGGAGTTGAAAGTAAAGTGTTTGCGAGTTTATCCAACTCAAGTAAACCTAGCTAGGCTAGCCCAGACTCCAAGCTTGGCTTTTGGCGGATCCAGGCTTTGTCTGACTGCCTGGATCGGCCTTGTCCCGGAAAATTTTCTTTAGAATAACCCTGGATCTTTAGAAGCTTTCGAAGCTTTAGAAGCTTTAGAAGCTTTAGAAGCTTTAGAAGCTTTAGAATTTAGAATTTAGAATAACTATGACGTTTTCAGGCACAATCCCAGCAAGCACCCAAATTGAGAATGTTACTCACCGGTGTTTTGGACTCATTCGAGAAAGTTGAATGTTTTATGGTGCCCAGACCAGCTGAGCCGGTGATTCGAGCGAGTGGCGAAGTGCCGGTGAAAGGTTTGTTGGTACGGTAGCTGAATAAAGAACTGGTGCGAAAAAAATAAACAGAATCGGATTCGTCATGTCCGATAGGCGTTTGCATCACCGTCTCAGCCTCTTTTGGAACTTTCCTTTGTGACAGAAATTTGACACTGTAGCTAGATACAGTTGTGCATTCTAGCCGGATGCAGCTGTGCATTCTAGCTAGATACAGCTGTGCACGCTAGCTAGATACAGCTGTGCATTCTAGCTGGATACGATAACTCAAAATCGATTTCAGATTGCGGCTCGGATTTCCTCTCCGTTCTATGCGATTGTGCCAACCATGTGCTCGATAATTTGGTTCCGAAAAACGTGATGGGAACGATTTTGACTGGTGAAACTCTGAAAGAACATGTAGAGGTGAACTTAGATAAGATAAACCATCTATTTTTTGGGATCTTTAAGTAATTTTTACAAAATTCTTATAGTATCAAGAAATTTGAGTACTATTCTACAGAAATTAGGCACTTGAAAGAAAGTTGAACTTTTCAGAGTCTTGTTAACCACGTCACACACAATCACCACCATGCAATCGGCTCAGCGTACCTGGTTTTGGTTTTTAAGACTGAAAAATCAATGTTACGAATGTTAAGAAAGAGTTTTACATACCGTAAATACTGTAATAGTACCCCACCCCCATAACGACGGTGCGGAGTGTTGGGTAGTCTAGCTTTGAACGAGTTTTTCTCGACACTGGTTGATGCTACAATGCGCGCTTAGGTATCAAAAAATAGCCCTCAATTTCAGCTATTTTTTGATACCAAAGACGCATTTTTTGAAAGTACGGGTGCTTTGCAAAAAATGAAATACTAAAAACTGCAACTACGCGACTGTACAAGGGGGTGGGGTACTATTACAGTATTTACGGCATATAAACTTTTAAAAAAATTGATACGCTTTATGATTTTTAACCACTTTACAGGCTACTTCACAACTTTACTTTCAAAAAGCTCGAATTACTGCTGAAAGCTTTTTCAACGAACAACATGAACAGGTTTGAAAGGAAAACTTTTCAAAACTTTCAAAAAAATCTAATTAAAGACTCTATTTTAATTCCTAAACTTTCAATTTTCAAGTTAATCCGAGAAAACAGTCATCACCCAATCCAACCTGAACTCTATGCAGAGGAATTGAAGAGAATCAGCAACGAAGCTGTGAAGGTAAGGCTGTGAAGGTGAAATTGTGAAGCTGAGCTACTTTGATGTGCTAGATAGCTTGCGTTTGCTAGAGCACAAAGGCATAAATGTTTCTTTTTGTTCTTTTATCTTTTATCTTTTTAAGATCTATCTGGTCAGCCCATTTTTCGGCACGGCTGCAGAGAAACGATCACGTTTCAACGATTTCGCAAAGGGATTGCAGGTTTAAAAAACTCAGCATCACTTTCCACTAAGTTTGCAGGATCGTTGCTTGGAAAAAACGGAAAATAATGAGAATCGATATAGAGATATTCGGCTGGCTGAAGCGGTCAATGGGAGTTATTCGGTTTATGAGCAGGGAATGCGGGTGAGTGAAATGTCTAGCGGTAACCGTATCTTTCTAAATTCATTGAAATATCGAAAGCCGCTTATCAGAACCTATCGATGTGGGGTAGGAAAATGTAGCTGACGAGGAGATCTTGCAGGGGATTAGAGTGTTGAGCTTCTGTGAAAGCTTGGAAACTGTAACTGAACTAAAACAGTCGTCATCAACTCGGCTCGACCGGCGGGAGGGGCACTACTTTTAGAGAAAATACGGAACTAGAGGTTGAAATAGAGCACACTGGAATAGATCTTGTTCTAACTAGATCCAGATGAAGAAATCGCTCAGTTCTCTAACTTTTCCAGCGTATAATCACTCTTCTTTCCAACTTTTTCAGCATACAATCCATTAGAGTATGCTGCCATTCGGTCAGTGCTTCTACTAGGCCTTTACGATAAAAATATCCGTAAGAACATTGACAAATTAAGTCCACTAGAAGGAGAGTGTTTCTATTTTTGTGCACAAAGAACAGAACAAATCAATTTGTTTAGCTAGGCATCGAGGCTCTAGTCAATCCCGATGACCCGGCACTCATCACCGAGCGACACAATCAAGCTAATACAGAAGCGATGAGCTATTTTGAAAAAGGTAGTACAGAAGCTGGAAATTCATGAATTTTATATAAATCTAGAACTAGAATCATTTACAACATATATCTGACAGTTGAATTCAAATTTAACTTGAAATATAATTCTTAGCTGTTTCGGAATTCTCTAAAGAGACACAATTGGTGGAAACGAAACGAACGCTGCTTTCGAATATGATCAAGGTATTCAGTTTTCTCATATATTGAACTATCTGTATTTAGTTTAATAATAAAATCTTATTCAAAAGATAGAAAGAAAGAGAGAGAGAGTTCTTATTCAAAATCAAGAAAGACAGAAAGAAAGAAAGAAAGGAAGGAAGAAAGGAAGGAAGGAAGAAAGAGTTCTTATTCAAAAGAAAGCTCTGCATTCTGTTTAGGTCAAGTTCGAAGGTCTTACACGCGAAAACGGTGCTAGGAATTTAGAGCGGAAAGGAAAGGAAATTTTCGAGAAACTCCTTGAAGAGCATATTGGGAATTTGAGAGAGGTTTACACTTGGAAACATTAAATATTTTGAAAGGATTGATCATGTCCAATGATCATTGCAATCATCTCCAATATCTAGTGCATCTCCACTACAACAAGCGACGAACAGATCTCAGTGAACTTGCAGAGATGTGCGGAGAAGTTGCAAACTCGATATGAAACAAAAAGGGTTATGACTTGAATCGAATTTCCTTCTAATATTCAATTTTTTAGCTAGAGTTGACTCTCGAAGTGATGAACACACTGCCGACCGTCTCACCGCAAACAATCTCCCAGATTCTCGACAACAATCGTCAGGCTTTCACAACACCGTTCAAGGTACAGGCGTTTGTGTAAACCCACCTCTTCTGGTGCACTTAATTCCTGATCATTCTTGATCAAGACCGTACCCTTCTACCGTACTCTTCTACCTTACTCTTCTACCGTACTACCGTACACGTACTACCGTATTTTTGAACACCAGAAGGAAATAAATGTGCTAGAATGAATGTGTTTCTATTACTAGTCACTCAAAAACAAATGCTAAAAGACAGAAGAATAGAATACTAGAAAGACAGAAGAATAGAATACTAGAAAGACAAAAGACTTATTCTTTAACATACCTTCTAGAAATGTGAAGACGATTTTGTTTCTGAAGTTCGTGGCAAATTGAGAATGGAACAATTGATGGATAAAATTGGAAAAATGGAGCAACTTCGGGTCAATGAGAAGCAACGATTTGGAGCACTTCAAGCAGAAACTGAGGCTAAATTTGAGCAAATGAGAAGCGCTTTGGGTAAATGAATAGAATTTAGCAATTCTGTAGCATTTCTCTACTCTTTTTTCAAAAATAAATATTCAGAAGAAGAGCAACGCCGACGCGCCACAGCTGAGTCGAACAGAGAAAACAACGAGGCGATGTTACTCTTAATGAATCATATGAAAGAGAGCGATGTTCGGTGGGGTTATTTTGTCATCTGTCTGCCCTTTTCTTTGTCATTCTCATGCCAAGAAACTTTCAACTGAAATAGTAAAAAAGGGTTTTATTTCTTGATATCTTGATGTTGGCTTAGAAACTGTTGTAGTTGGATTGGTGAATTGAAAACTGTCGGCTATTGTCAGATGTGACAGTTTGAGCACTTTCTTCAAAAGAAACCCATTTTGGTGTGAATGAAAAAGTTGTAGAGAATCAAAAATCAAGCTTATATCCAAATTTTCAGAATGATTCAAAAACTGGTTTTCAAGAAATGCCAAATTTTACGAATTTTCACAAAACTTGCATTTTAAGCGAAACTACTAAGTGTATCTTTTTGGAAATTTGCCTATAAGCCTAATTTTTGATTCTCTACAAGTTTTCTATTGACACCAAAATGGGTTTCTTTTGAAGAAAGTGCTCAAACTGGGACGCCTCCAGTCCTCCATTTTTTGAGTCTCACACTTGTCTCACACACAAACCAAAATCCTACCACGAAAGTGGAATCCGCAAATTGCCTGTAAAATGTGCAGAAGCCGTCAATAATAATGAAAATTATTTAGTAATCAAGTATTGATCTGATGAGATTTAAAACTTGAGTAATTAAGTAATTAAACCAAATCATAAGCGGAAATTGACTGAAATGAAAAGATATTGTGAGAGTTTACAAAATAGAGTACTCGAGGAAGAAATACAGTGCATTATAGTTATAAAATTTGTTATACCTTATCCGTAGTCCATTCCAATAATCACCATAAATCTTTTCAGACAACGAGAACAGTACGATCAAGAACGACAAGCGGACGCTATTCGAGAAGAGAGACGACACCAAGAAGCTCAAGAAAAAGTCGATCGAGTGTGGCAACAAAGGGTTTCTGTAAGAAATGATATAGAAAGGATTACAATAAACATCTATTTATTCTAGCTTCTAGCTTGACCAGCTTCATAGCTTGGTCCTTTAACATCCTTTAATTTGCTTTATCCTATAAGGTCCTTTAACTACCTATTGGGTTGGGGAGAATGAGTCGGCGCCGAAAATCAAAGAAATTTCTAAAACTTATAGCAGACTTTGTTTTCTATTTCTAGCTTTCTTTTTACTTCAGGCTCTTTAAATGCTCTTTGAAGATTGTATTCAAATTTGGTTCATAGCTAGTACTAAGAATGATTACTAAAATGTACTCGTATCAATACTCTATCAGTACTCGTATCAATCAATCAAAGAAAGAAAAACAAGAATTTATTTAGGAAGAAAACGAGCAGAGACGCGAATATCAAGAGCGATTGGATCAAATGGAAAGAGTTTGTTGAAAAATCTCGATGAATCTCTAAAAATCTTTAGGAGCAAAGAGAGCGCCAACTTTGGAATGAGCGACAACAGCAGACACAAGACCAAGTGAGAAACTTGTTTTAATAGTATTTCAATTTAAAGGCTCAGGTAGATCTTGTTTCCAGGTTTAAAAATATCCTTTCCTATTAGGATGAGCTTTTGGCTAGGACGTTTTAAACCCAAGTTTTCTGACCTAAACTAGACCAAAGTAGAGCTTGACTTTCAATTTTTCGACAAGAAGTTGTTTGCGAAAACTTTCAGAAGTTTTTGACTTGACTTGGCTCATAGGTTGTTTTCTAAAAGATGTCAATCTGTCAACTTTAAAGTGATCTACCATAAGCTTTCTCTCAAGCTTTATTTGATCAAAGATCACTGCTTATAGTCATTGAAAGAGGCTTTTTTTAGCAACGACGCGTCCTCGAGAATCAGCCTACTCATGAGGATCCCGAGCCAAACGGGGCTCGCCCCATTTCTCAAGTTGTCTACTTTGGATATAGAATCTTGCATTCGTTGGGATTTTAAAAATTTTACTGATTATGTACCACTTGATTAGTATTCACTTGAGGTTAAAATGTGTCAACTTTCAACTAATCCCTTCTCTAAAACGTGACAACTTTTGTAACTAACTTTGTAACTGTGACCTTGCTTCTACCGTCATATCTAGCCCCGTAACCTTGCCTCTATCGGAATCTTCTCTTTACAGTCTCTAACTACCATAACCTTGTCTCTACCGTAATCTCGCTTCTATCGTACTCTCTACGCTCCTGAATTTCAATTAAAGATCACCTGAGCATGAAATATTATCATTGTTAATATTGCCATTGTCCAGTTTTTTCACACTTTTCAACACTTTTCTTGATTCACTTTTGTAAAAACCTTTAATTTGAAAATCAGCTCCATTCCATTTTCGGAATATTCAGCTGTGATCAATTTTTCGTATTTGGTTTTGAAAAGTTATACAAAAGTTTTATTGGGTTAAAAATTATAGAAAAGATTTCTCAAATATAACGTTTTAGGTTCTCAAACATATGAGGATTTCTGAAGCTGATGTTGAGCTGGATTTTGACCTTGATGCCCAAGTGGGCCATGTTGAAATGAGACATTCTTAAAATCTCTTCTGTTTTTGCTTCAATTTTTCTCAAAACCTAATGATGACGTACAGATCTTTGAAAATTCTCATCCAAATATTCCATCAATGACGGATGGAATTGAATCGACAACCGATGGGCGACTTTGTAGACAAAATCTTGCATCTCCTCGAAACACAAATCGTTCCTCTGAAAGCGTACTGTAGATTATTGAATGCTGAATGCTAAACCGTGCCCCACGGCTACCGTAGGCCCCCACATGCCATTTTTCGCCGGCATTTCAGCCTAATACTTGCCCACTTTACCGTCGTCTAACGTGAATGTCGATTCCTAATTTGATCCAATTAAACTTGGTCTGATTTGGCGAGCATTCAAAGATCCGGTTACTTGGATACTAACGAGGCAAGACTACGATAGTTTTCAAAAGTTTGCTTCAAAAGTTTCAAATTGACCCACTAACAGAAACTTTAGTAGAAAAGTTGACCCATTTTAGAAAGAACTTTAGTCCAAACGAGCCGACCTCCAGCTCAAAGCATTAAACTTGAGTAACGTGAAAGTCATCAACTTTCAGTCCTTTTAATTTTCGTCTACACGATTCGGCTCAGCATCTCCCAACCTACCGGCACTTCCTTGAAGAACATCATCCACCCTTCTGCGAGACTCTGACCGAGCACATTCGTCAATTCTCCATAGTAGTCATTCTTCGCCAAAGCTTGAAGGAAAAACGTTCGTCTCGAGTTCGAGTTCTCGATTAGAATCTCCAAAGTGGAAAGATTCAAATTAGTGACTTTTTCGAAATCCTAAAACAAATATTCAGTCAGATTGCTGAAGTTAACATAGTGTAAATATTGGGTTGGTGAATTGAAAACTGCGGGATTTTAGTAAATTTATTCAACATAAAACCATAAATTCATTCCAAATAGTTTCCATTATTCTTGACGACTTTTGCCCATTTTAAAGGCAATTTGCGGATTCCTCTTTCGTGGTAGGATTTTGTTTTTGAATCGAAAAACTTTCAAAGCCAATTTTTGACTGCTTCTTTCGAATCGAAGTGTTCTCCCGCAAGCTCATTACTCATGGTCCGAAATAAATAGTAGTCAAAAGGGGTAAGGTCCGGACTGTATGAGGAATGTGCCAAAAGTTCCCAAACAAGGCTGTTTATTTTAGAGCGAGTCAGTTTTGCAACATGAAGGCGCGCGTTGTAGTGGAGGAGAACGATCTTTGACTTGAAGGGCCTATTCTTCTTTAGGGATTCATTCACCTTTCCCAACTGTTCGCTGTATTTGATTGCATTAAGGGTCGTCAATTCGAGGAAGGAAGGATTTTCTTTCGTATCGTGAGAGATGAGCGGCACTGATGAAGGTGCGCTGCCACTTCTGGGGGTCAGTGGGGTCATGGGGCACCCAAGTCCCAAGTTTCGATTTAAATCCAAGGGTATGAAGGTGATTTAGCACTGTAGCATGATCAACCCCTAACTCTTCTCCCAATTCACGCGATGATACCCGATGGTCGTTGGTAATGAGTTCGAGTAATTTGGAATCATCCAGTTGGGGTACCTGGGTTGATCAACCCCTAACTCTTCTCCCAGATCGAAACTTAGCAAACCATACTACGTTCTTTCGGAAGGTGAGTCCTCCCCATATATCTTTTTAATATTAGCAGCTGCCAAGCCTGCACTGTGCTCTTGTAGGAACTCATGAAGCATGACATGACGAATATTTCCCGGTGGCAGATTGTCGAGTGCAATAGAAGAAGTGAATAAAAATACCAAAAAATAAAAAGCTGGAAGCATAGTTTTTTCGCAATAATTAGAGGAAATGTTGAAGTAAACAAAGCCCCCTTTCAGCTGGTTCAATGCTGTTGTTTTTTATCTGCGAAATAGCCGGCAGTTTTCAATTCACCAACCCAATAGAGCACAATGTACGCTTCAAAGTTTCCAACCTGCCGTTGTTGATGTGCGAATTCCCGTTGAACTACCTGGTAGTCGAGCTCTTTCCTCTGAAAATGAACACAATATGGGAAGCATTTAGCGGTGAAACAGTTAAATTACTAGTGTATAAGATTCAGATTTGTAACTTTTCTCAACTCCTCTCCACCCACCATGTTCCATCCTCTTGGTTTTTCAGCTTTATTTTTAACAACATTTCATACAAGTTCTTCTTTCTGTTTTTAGATTTAACACTCACTCGCAAAGACACGTGAAACCGGGCAACGGAGTGCCAGTAGGGCTTTTAACTACATGCGTATCGAAGTAGCACGCCGGTTTCCAATAGATCATCCCCTGTACACAGTCTCGCCGCGTAGTGTTCAATGGGAAAAGTTGCTGAGAAATCAAGCACAAAGTACCAGTGCATTGGGATGGAGAGCTGGAATTGGGAAAAAGTTTTCGGAGAGGGATTGAATGCTTTGCAAGCAATTGTTCTAACCACTGAGCTATGTGGTACCTTAAGTTGTCAAGAGAAAAAGGGAAAGACAAGGGAGAAGAAAGGAAGAAAGGAAGAAAGGAAGAAGGAAGAAAGGAAGAAAGGAAGAAGGAAGAAAGGAAGAAGGAAGAAAGGAAGAAGGAAAGAAACGCTAAGCTAAAGCCATGCCCCTCTTTATGTACTTTATGCTGAAATATTCTGTAAACGCATCCTTTCTAGCGAACAGAATTCTTCACTTTTCTTCAGGGCATTACTAAAAGAAGAAAGAATTCTAGTAGTATGTCAGAAAGGGTGCGTTTTCAAAGCACCAAAAAACTTACACAGGTTTTCCAACTGAATCGACTTGTAGAATGCATTTCACTGCTTTAATATGAAATTTTTTCCAACTTATCAATAAAATTATTTAAATATTTAAATAAAATTTCATTAGAATTACAATAAAATACTAGAAATGCTTTAAAAATATTCTCTTTTCAATGCCAGATTACAGGTTTTCTCCAGCAATTACGTAAAATTGAAACAAATTTTTGAAGATTGACTTTTGAATTGATTGAAAACTTGAAAAAGGGCTAGAATTTTTTGAGATTTAGATTTATGATAATAAAAGTAAAAACTAAAGCTGAAATGAAAGCTGAAATGAAAGCTGAAATGAAAGCTGAAACTAAAGCTGAAACGAGAGCTGAAATGAAAGCTGAAATGAAAGCTTCTTCTTGTCAACGTTTCGGAATCCGCTTGTAGTCTAGATTCGTGTTTTTGAAGTTAAAACAGCTACACACTCCCTACACAATACTGGAATTAGTAAACTACTGTATTCTATTGTTGATAAGCCTCTGAAGTACTATACTTGATCAATTCAATGCCCTAGAAGTCATGCGTTCATGAAATCCAAAGTTCAAAGCTTAAAGACAATAAAGCTGTAAATTTGACGCAGGTTTTTTGACGTTTGATAGTAATTGATGCTTTTAATTCTTTTTATACTTTTTATGCTTTTAATGACTAGTTTCTATTCTTAAATATCTATTCAACAATTTGTGAATATTATCGGGATTCAAATGCCAATTACTGAGTTTTTTCTGAATCGAAACCGATTCTACAAAGATGAAGTAATGTTTAGAGACAATAAAAGTAATGAACAAAAGATTAGCATGAGCAAAAGATTGAAAGAATCAATTTGAAAACGAAAAGTGTCCCAGGATGGTCAAAAAGGTGATGAAAAGGATTATTAATGTTAAAGAATCAATTTGAAAACGAATAGTGTCCCAGGATGGTCAAAAGGCTAAAAAGCAAAAGGCCAGAATGGCCAAAACCCAAAAAGCAACCCTTTCACTTTCCAAATTATCAGTAATTCATTCAACACTTTCACTGACCTTTTTCTTCTCTTGAGACAAAATTTGCATATTATTTAATTCTTAGAGTATGGCACAGTACCAATTTAATCCATAGGATATTGAAGAAAACCTAGAGCAAAACATAAGACAGTAGAACATTCCAGTACAGTACAGTACAGTAGAAGATTTCAGTACAGTACAGTAGAACATTTCAGTACAGTACAGTACAGTACAGTAGAAGATTCCAGTACAGTACAGTACAGTACAGTAGAACATTCCAGTACAGTACAGTACAGCACAGTAGAACATTCCAGTACAGTACAGTAGAACATTTCAGTACAGTACAGTACAGTAGAACATTCCAGTGCAGTACAGTACAGTACGGTAGAACACTCCAGTACAGTACAGTACAGTACGGTAGAACATTCCAGTACAGTACAGTGCAGTTGAAAATTCCAGTACAGTACAGTACAGAAGAACATTCCAGTACAAATTGGTACAGTACAGTACGGTACAGTAGAACATTCCAGTACAGTACGGTACAGTAGAACATTCCAGTACAGTACAGTACAATACAGTGCAGTAGAGCATTTCAGTACAGTACAGTAGAACATTCCAGTAGTAATCTTAAAAAGCAAGCCCAACTTTTCTTGGTTTACTTTACCAAGCACTTACTTTAC